ACACGGCCCGCTACGACGTTGACAAAGTGTGCAAAGTAAGAGGCAGTGCGTCCTTGCTCCTAGTAGCGATGCCAGGAGCCCCTAGTAGCGTCCTTGCTCCTAGTAATTGTCAAGTCTGAGCATGAACCAGTTTGGTGGAGTTACCATGACTGCGCCTGTACTTTATAGATGATGTCCAAGGGTATGAAGTTGGCAAGCTGTGTGGAAATCGTTGCGGTTACTGTAGTTGTCTGAGCTGCATCGAACGCCATGAGCGCGGAGTGCTTCTATGACCCTGAGGGAAATGTTGCATCCCTTGTGAATCCCTGCACAGCTCTTCAGCAAACAATGCATCTGCGTGATTTTGAGGTATTTCCGCTCTGCCATAGCTTGCGGAAAACTCATCATGACAAACGCTCCAAAAAATTAGACAACAAAATAACATTATATATCATTATCTAATACTATATATTTATAACGTAGACAGTCAAAAATACTCTTTGAGATGCATCACCAGCCTCCTTCTCAGCGAGTCCTCCTGGCAAAGGCTAGGGAATGCTGGAACAGCAACTCAGCGACTAGGAAAACTGCATCTCCATGTTGCACGCCATCGTACCAGCATGTAATATTGGGGGGCACGGTAGTCAATGCCGCAATAGAACCGGCTGGCTTTCATGAATTCAGGCTCGACTCAAAACATAACCTTCCCCTGCCATGTGTCCTGAAGCTGGGCTGGAAGCAGTTCGCACGTGGCCACTAGGGCTCAGGACGAAGGACTGCTGACAAACCTGGCATGAGAATCGCCCAGGCCCGGTCACCGCCAGCTAATTATTGACCTGAAACCTTTCTTCCATGAGCATGCTTTAGCGCTTTGACCTGCATTCTCTGGCACGATTCCCTACCACTATCTACCACTTCAAGCTGCAGCTGGATCTTTGAGGGTTCTGTTTCCAGGTGTTCGTTTGGCATCGGCCAGAATCAACATAACCAAAATCGGTTGCTGCGGACGATTCTTGCGTGGCGTTCCCAGCAACACCTTGACATGATCGGTCCTCCAGGCCTCAAACCTGTCAAAAGAAAGAGAGTCGCTCTCCTGGCTGCTCACCCACAAGGTTTGCTGAGCTGCAGCTGCTCACCAACATCACAGACGGTCACGTTGGGTCTTTTTCAGACTCCACACTGTGGATGATGTCCCGTTCTGCCTCTAAGTGAATGGATTAGCGGACCAATGTCTAAAGGGACAATGACAATGACCGGAAAGTTGGACAAGGTCGCATATCTGTTTGGCATGTCCAATAAATGTTCTCTCCCCGTTTGTGCGGTAATATGCTTGCATGAAACAATTGCCTGGTTGATCCCTAACGCGACAAACCTGTGGTGAATGATGACTGCCAGCTTTCAATATTGACAAGCGTTGATGTTTGAGAATGTTTCCTGACGAATTATTGTTTGTATTAGGTATCGTACATATAGCATATCCTGCACGTGTTTTCTAATTAATTGATGCAGAAAAGCAGATGGAAAGCCAAACTACTTAGAACAGAAAAAGGTCATCAATACTGACCAAATCTTCGGTTGCTCAATCTGGAAGCACAAAATTTGCCCGACCACCCATAGCAAGCATCTCCTGAGTACCGTGACTTGACCTCAGCCTTGGTTAAGACATAGTAGGGTGATGGTGATGGCAAAGGACCAAAAAACAGCAACTGGTCAAAGCAGGCAACAATCAGCCTTCACCAAGTACCGTCCACACAAGAAACACCTCTAGTCACTAGTCACTATTGACACTGGTGGGGTGCTCATGTTGGTTCTTCTTGGCTCTACTGTAGCGTAGACAAGGTGTGAAGTAAAGTTCGCCCTCACCTGGGTGAGGCCACCGAAGTGCAGGCGAGCGACTTTGAATCCTGAAAGATGTGCACACATACAGAAAAGATTAGGTTCTGCAGTGAAACACTTCAAAACGATGAGAAATCTCAACTGGGAAGTGACTCATGAGATGCCAAGGAATATGCAGGGCAAGTCTTTGGGTCAGTAGCTCCAGCAAAAAACTGGGCATGGAACAACTGGTTGATCCTGCAGCTGCCCTCCACATGCGAATGCTAGCTGGTTTCGTTTGAGTCTTGTAATTATTCTCCGTCTATATACTCCATCTGCTCCTGCACGATGTTGCCGTCTGACGACCTTTGATCATGCAAGATCTGTGGCCAAACATGCTCTACATGAACCGCCGTATGTACAGCAGTGTGCAGAGCATCCCGTCCTAGTAGCTAGCCAAAGTGACACAAAGCAACCAAGCGAAACAAAACAGCATGGGGACAATCATTTATCTGAAGAGAGTTCGCTATCGCTACTGCTTGCCTGCCTTCACTCACACCCTGCAATCTCCCTGTAGGCAGTACAACCTCTGGTTTGGAATTTGCACACCTGGACATACTGAGGCTGCACCAGGAAAATGCAGGGTGACCATGTCAGATTTGATCCCCGAATTCGCCGAAGAATATGCCAAGGTCAACTAGAGAAAAACCACACAACACATGTCGTTCGCCCAAAGTTTCCCAGACCTCTCAGCCTTCTGTTGAGCTTGGGCCTGGAGCCAAGTCAAACTGGGAAGTTGTGTCAAACTTCCTCAAACATCGAACCCAAGTATGCAGTGCATCGCTACTAGGAAAGGGCATTGGCATTGCTACTAGTAGCTCCTGGCATTACTACTAGCAACAAGAAGCTACTAGATCTACTAGTAACAAAACGAACAAAATGTAACAAAGCGCATCTCATGCTATCTTTGAGCGTCTTGAAGGCAAATGAAACCTGTGTCCTTGCAAAAAAGGTTCCCTTGGTTTGCAACTGTGGGAGACGCGGCCCCTGAGCAGGTTCTCTAACAAGTGCCTTCATGCAAACCGATTCTGTCCCCACTGAATCCTTCTGCTATCCTCACTGGTGCTACAGTATGAGGATTGCATCCTGCGAAATGGTGGCAGCGCAATGCAAACATGTACCAATCATATTATTTGATACTTTAGACTTTACACCGGCTTCGCTGGCGAGCTTGGAGCAATTCATTGTCAAACAACTATCGAAGAAACATTGCGCGTTATGAGCTACAGCTACAGAACGCGTGCACGTGAGCTCAAAAGCAAGAATGGTGTCAGGGGGGCAAAACGAGACTCGTGGCCTGGCGTGCTGTTCAAGTGGCTTGAATCGCCCTGACAATGAACGTAAGCAGAGGAGTGGAACTGCAGTGTCAGGCCTGTGTTTGCTCGAGTTACCAAGAACATTGAAAAAGAATCACACGAGAAGTGCCATTTCCCATTGTGCTTCCCGGTGCGTCCACCTCTTGGCCCTGCTCTCGTGTGGGCGGCTCTGGGGGGGTCCTAATATGTCCTAATTATCCCTACGCATTCCGCCCACCAGCGCTTGGCTCTGAATCGGCTCTTCGAACGCCCACATTGTTTCTTCTGTGGGTGCCAGGTGCTGTTGGTATGGCTGTCACCCACTGGAAGCATGATCTGCAGTGCGCGCTTCCATGCTCGTGCTCGACCCTTCGCAAACTTTGGAGAGCCATTGGCCGCCTGCTTGGCTGAATGAAGGGCACTGAGCGTGGCTTCGGCCAATCACAGTTTCTGCGTGGGGCTTGCCAAAGCGAAATGCAATTTACGACAGCTCTGCCGCAGGTTGTTGCAGCGCTGCCTGTGTGAATTGGTAGAAGGAGTTCTCCAAGTGCAAATGCGACAAACAAAGTCTCCAAACAATCCAACGCTCGCAAACTCTTTGTCACAGGGTTGTTCATTGCTCGGTGAGCGATCGCGGCCTTCCACTCTGAAGGATGAGTCTAAGTGTGGGTGGTTGGTTCCGCATGTCGTGGATACGGCATGCCAATTGTGCCAGGGCGATAGCTGATGCCAAGTGCACAACAGAAGAGTGCACGCTGTCATGGCTGCGCCACGTCTTCGGGATGCTGTCTGAGAAACATGAAGGCTTTCTTCGTGGCTTTCTTTGCAACCATGCAGCGATCACCAGTTCATTTGCATGAGTGTGTCTTCGGCAATCAAAAGGCTGGAAGACTGAATATCATCAAGCCCAGCAACACAAATTGACCTACATGAAATTGACAAAGTCATTGTGGACCAATGTGAGTGCCAGCATGTCCAATTTCAGCCTTTGGCCCAGCCGCGAGTGCAGAAGGACGTGACCTCATTGCTCCGATGCGTGGGGACTTCTTTTTTGGACGGATGTGTTTGGACTACGAAAGGACTGTGGCACCCCAAACCTAGATTCTGAATTGTTTGCTTCAAAATCCCGAGCGAAGAATGAATAAACGACATACGAACATTAGAAACACGGGATAGCAACGGCAGGTGAGACCCCCGTAGTAAGGCCCAACAAAATCAATGCCTCTAACAAGCAATTCCTCCACACCTACTCTTGCTTGAACAAACATGCAAGTGGCCAACCCCCTTTGCGTAGGGGAACTCAGTCTTTCTAAGTTCACTTCCACTTCCATGATTGTTGGAGAGAGGCGAGGGAGAGGGTGAGTAACAATATATATATATATATACTACATTACAAAGTCCTCCTCCCGCCAGACCCTTGCATCTTTTCTCGGAGATTCGGGCTCACAAAACCAGTGCCACCAGCGACACTACAGTGACTTAATAAAAGCATTTGTTGAACGAGGTCAATGGCTCAAGATACTGCGTGTGTTTCAACAACAAATTGAGGAAACCACTTCTTGACTCCCAATCAGATCTTACTGTAAAGGTGAACATGGTGATTTCGTACCAATCCCCCGTGTATTTATTCTTTTCTCCAATCATCTGCGTCCGATACTTCCTGACTTCGTGCATAGCTTGCAGGTGCTTGCAATGCTTCTCTCGGGCCAGCCCAAAGTTAGTATATAGGTGAGCGTATGCCTGTGTCCTTTCTCGTTTCTATGTTTTGTCTTCCCTTTCCTACTTCATTCCTTTCTGTGTGATGTGTGGGGATTTGTAATGCGCGTTTGGTTCCGGCCGATGCTGCATGCTTTAAGTCAACTGCACCGACGCCACGGCTATTGAGGACATTTCAAGGGAGATATTGAAACACACCATGCACAGGCGGCAGCGTTGGCGATTCTTCAAATATCCGGGGTGTACCTCCATGCTGGCTGAGGAAGAATCAATCCCACCTCAAGCACCCCGACAGTTGGCTCAGCTCTGGTGATGCCCTCAAATCGGCCAAGCTAGCGAAACGATGGATGACAGCATCAGTGTAGTGGCTGTTCAGTTGAGGGGGAAAGAACAGTTCACAATACCATTGAGCCACCCAAACCAAGCAAGATCAGAACCAGTGGACATGACAGCTTTCCACAAAAAATGTTGAACTGTCGCGTTGCAAAGGTACTGAAATCGCTCCAAGTTGCGGCTCCGACTCTCGCTGCTCCGTGTCCTCGCTCTCGTGGCGACCCCTAAGAGCAGTGCGGCTTCGGACTATGGGCAATACGTAAAGGCTGTGTCGCCGACTGACTTATACACCTGTCTTCCATATTGTTTTCTTCTGGGAAGCTTCAAAACACTTGGAACTGGCGAAACGCGCTTTTTACACACTACCACACGCGATTTGCTGTTTTCGTGTACCTTTATCTGGAACGCCTGGAACGCCTCATCTCTGGCACTTAATCAAAGCCCACTGAAACGACTTGCTTTGAGGAACTGGAATTCATATACAAAGATACCCTTGTGTTATCAACAGGTTGCCTAGGCACCCTGAAAAAATATAAAGTGCTCAGGGCCTACCCTTGCAAAGATCTGTTGACAACATGGGCATGGGGTGCGGAACCAGAAATGCCAAAATAAAGTTCCCGTGGTGAAAACAGCATAAAGTGGACAAAGCCAACCTGGCCAAAATAAAGTTGTCCCAAAACCGAGACCACGAATGTCCCGACGCTTATCTTTGGTTCATTTGGTTCTATCTCTGCCTCGTTCTTCTACCAGTATTAGTCTCTTCTCCGCTGGGGTGTGGCCAGCACAAACATGTTCTGTGCAAAAGTCATGCACACGGGAAACTGTGATTCCACTGTATCGTGCAATCTGGGATCCTTTGTGCGATGGTAAGAAAGGAGACAGGAGACATGATAAACTGATAAACATTACCCGTGTCTTACAAACATTGCTGCACGCTGCACCCTATGGTGAGAGTCTGGAGCACAGTTCTGAAGCTGATTCAGACCGTCCATGCTGATGTTCTTTGCCGATGACTGAACAACAGCTGAGCTGAGGCATCGGCGTGGGAAGGACCGTGCTCATGCTTCCAGATGAGGCGTTCAACTCCTGAGCGCCGTGAAGCTGCTGACACGACAATGGGGGAACAATGGCTAAGCTGCTGCCATTCAACAGGGTTAAACAGTTAAGCCATGTTGGAAAGTCTGGATGTGTTCAGTAAGTATGCTCAACCTCCTGGCTAAATTATAAATTAGATCGACTCGAAGCGGAATGTGGGTCATGTTTTGTTGCGTGCCATGCTCTGCGCCACAAAAACTCTTGACACATGCTCCAAGCCTAGAAGCAACAAAGGCTCTAGAATGTCATTGTCAGGCTTTGTGAAATGCACCGGAAAGTGAACGCGGTGCCCAATCACGCCTTCAAATCTTCAAGGTAAAAGGTAGCCGCAACAACGACTCAGGCTGAGCCAAGGCTCTGGAATGAACCCAGACTGAAAAAGCCGCTCGGCCAAGGAGTCGTGCTGGCGCTTCATGAACTCTGCCTTAGACGTGAAACTTCCCTACTAGGAAGCACCCACATGTGAGGGCCTCAATCCAGCCAACTTCGCTCGATCAACCCGAATCAACATGCATTTTAAAAGTCCTGCTGTGTCAAGTTAGCATCGTCTAGGGTGAGTGCATCCTAGCACTCAAAGCAAACATGCGCAATGTCCCCAAAGGCATACCATATTTCGGAACCGATCTCGTTTTGTATATATATATATACTGCATATTCAGTTGTGCAAGTTAGCACATAGTTCCTCATCTCTTAGCCGAAGCCACCTCAAAGCTCCACCTCCCTCAGTCCTCCCCCAAACCTCACTAGGCTGTATTAGGCTGTAAGTGGTTTGAGCCCAAGCGTTGTCCAAACCACAGCTGTAAAATGCCAGCCAAATGGCTGTGAAAACATGTGAAAACATCTGTACATTGACCAATCGCGCCTGCGACTCTGATTCGGGGCCATCTTCATCCTGGCAAGAATATGCGAAGGACACTTGCGCACTCACATGGGCAGCAAACATCAGTGACCGTAGTGCATGCGTCCAGCAAAACAGAATCACGGCTTCACTTACAATGGGACCCTCGCATATGTCGTCTGAAATTATTTTTGATGGTCAGTTGAATTGCGCCATGGACCTGCTCGCTCAATCAACACTAAAAGTCTTCTGAAGGGCATGTGCCTCAGCGGGGTCTGTCTGCACCTCTTTTGTGGACTGGGTGGGCTGCTTTTGCTGCAGCATTTCGAGCCTTGGATACTGTTTCAAAGTGTATTTTTTCAGAAGTGCGTCTCTGGGGAGGCACTGTATCATCCAAGAGGTGGATGAGACATTCTTGCTAAACACATGGACGCTACTAGGGGCTCCTGGCATCGCTACTAGGAGCAAGGATGCTACTAGGGGCTCCTGGCCTTACTACTAGGAACAAGGACGCTACTAGGAATCCTAAATCGGGTGACCTCTCTCTTCGGAGGGCAACAGGAGCGAGGAGCTTGCTCATACCTGCCAAAGCCTACATGGAAATATTCCTAGAGTGTGACCAGCTTCATGAAGCATTAAGGGCGAATATGATCTATCAAAACTGTTGACTGGTGGTGAATCCTATTTCTTGCCGAAGTGCTGCTGGAGCAGTCGCAGTTGCAGGTCTCCCCACTGCGGGCCTTCACCTGGAAAAGTGCAGTATATAGTTAGCGCTTTGATCCTTTCTTGACTCACAAAGCCTAAGATCAAAAGCTTCATGCCTGCACCAAAGCGAGGAAAGGGCACACTAGGCCTTAGCACTATCCCAACAAACGCTGCTGGCCACATCTGGCCACTGCGGTGATTATATAGACTCAATGTCAACCAAGCCAAAATGTTGAATGGTCGGTTCGCTATTGGTTAAGCAGCTAAGCATGCTGTCAAAACATCGGCTGGTGCAAGCATCGCAACACCGAACGTCACTGAATTCCACCTCTCCCTACTGTATCTATTGTTTTAGTCGCACCCAGCTGATCGCTGTGGGTCACAAAATGCTACAGGGCAGCTGAGCAATTGTCTCAACATCACACTACATGTCACATGAGCTCACATCCTCAAACACGGACTGGCCCATGTCTGGTTAGTGGCTCTGTCTCCTTGAGCTTCTCAACCTCCTGTTGCTGTCTAATCTTCAGGTGGCTCCAGCACGCAATCCCGGTCATGATGATGATAAAGCCAACCTGCTGCTGCGCAGAGATGTAATCGCCGAAAAGGAGGGAGGATGTTGCAACGATCACCGAGTCCTTGACAATGCCAATGATGACGAATGCCACAGCAGACAAGCGCTTCAGTGTGGTCGCAATGATGACATTCAAAGCAAAAGCATTCAGTGCATTCAGCAGGATCATTGGCCAGTGTGCCAGGAAGGCTACTAAGATTTCTGACTCCCACGAAAGTGCAACGCTCAGGAGCAAAGGCAGCAAAGAGCAAGGTGCCTGGAACATGACAAAAGTCAACACATCCAGCTTCATGCCTGCACCCGACATCACCATCTCTCCAATAAGGTTCTTGGAGCACTCAGCTAGCTGCGATGTGATCTGGAGAAGAAACCCAGCCCAAACAAAATTGACCTCGCCATGCGCACACAAAGTGCAGCCCGCTACAACGATGCTCAGTATGGCCACCTTGCTCCAGCTAAAGACCTGCAAACCCAACAAGCAGGACATTG